TCCTAGAGCTGTCATTTTTCTTTTTTCCTTTTTTTTTTTTTTTTCCCAGTACCAGGGATAAAACTTGGGACCTTGTGCTTGCCAGGCAGGCTCCTATTCCACTGAGCTATCTCCTCAGCCCCTCCTACAGCTTTCCTTTTCCCTTTCCTCAACTGGCACCCCATGTTTCCGTGGAGTATGTCCTTTAACAGCTTCCTTTATCCCTCAAAGGATGCAACTGAAGTACATTTTTAAGCATTTTTATATCCAAAATGCACACTTGAAAGAGTTCTACACTGAAAATCACTCATCATCAAAATTTAAAGACAATTCTTTTCTAGCTTTTAATGTTGTGAGGGCCCTGAAGTCCCTTCTGATTCCTCAGCCCTTGCTGGTGAAGTTGCAAGAGCACAGGACTCACTCTTAGTCCTTAGCACTCCTAGCCCTGTGAATTGAAAATGTGGTTCTATTTTCCCCTGATATTTAGTGCATTCTCTGAACCTGGTCACTCATGTACTTTTCTTAAATTATTTTATCACTTCCTCCTCCTATTTGTCTAATTCTTTCTGGAAATCCCGTTGTTACATATGGACTTTCCAGACCATTTCTCTACTTCTTTTAGATTATTCTTTTGTTTTCTGTCCCTTTGTAATTTCACTTCTGCTTGGAAAGTTCCTAAATATTTTCTCTGAAACTAGTGAGAGGTTTTTGTTTTTTGTTTCTCCTTTGCTATTATCTTTTTAATTTTCAAGAGTTCTGTCTTAGTCCTATGAAGAAGTTGCTTCATTTTTACAGCACTCTAAAAATGTTTTGTTTTGTATGTGTGCATGGTACTGGGGATTGAACTCACAACCTTGCACTTGCCAGGCAGGTGCTTATGCCGCTGAGCTATCTCCCCAGCCATCTAAGAATGTTTCTTGAACAAGTTTCTGACTAGTCATTCTTCCCCTCTCCACCTACCCACACCAAGTGACCCTAATTAATGCAACTTTGGGGCATTAAATATCTCCTGCCCACATTACTGATGCTCACTGCTCCGCTGCCTCAGTTCTCATTCCTTCACCTTCTGAAAGTTATTAATAGTTCCATTTTTCACAGTTATTATTTACTTATGACAAATGCTATTGTTATTTGTGTAGTAATATATAGTTTCCTTTAAAGTAGAAGGAAATAAATTGAAAGAAAGATCAGTAACAGTACAGATGCCTGTGGCTACTTTAAAATATTAAATTTAGGATGTTTGTGGTCACAAAGAGGAGGAAATTCAAGTAATGTGTTTCACAGTTACATAATTATTTTTCCTTTTCTGTTTCCAATTAAGAAATATATATTATACATTATAATACATTACATATTGTAATACATAATATATTAATATATATAGATACATAATGTCATTAGTGTTTTCATCACACAACATTTTTCTTGTATTTGATGTGAAGTTTTCTGTAGTAAAAGTTGTTACAGCTTAAACAAAGTCATTCGCATGTATTTGACTTTGTAAAGTTTCCATCATCGTTTGTAATGAGATTATGCAGCTATTTATGACACTGAGTATTTGCCAAAGTATTTTTGACAAGGCAGACCAAAATGAAATGTACTTACAAATGAACAGCCACCTTAGTTTTCAGCCAGATACATCTGGGAATTGTTACACATTTGACTGTTTACTGAAGGGCAGGCAGCTGATACAGGACTCATCTCCCTCCTGTGGTTATCAGAACTTAATCTTCCTGGGTGGGATTAGATGAGCGGGTTTCGTGACCCCCAACACCCGGAGTGCTATTATCTTCTAACACATCCTCTATCTTCTCCACCACATTGCGTGTCTGTCTGGTGAACGTATCCGGGCATCACTGCTCAGCACATGGGCAACCATGCTGTGTGTATGACTGAAGACAGAAGTGCCCTAGGATTTCCCATTTTTCAGGTAGACATATTGGAGACTGCATCTTTGGTCCTTTTAAAAATAACAATGGTCATGTAACTGGTATTGTCACAGTTACTTTTCTCTCATTGCTGGGACAAATACCCAGTATCCAAAATGAAGGAAGGAAAGGTTTATTTAGCTCACAGTTACTGGAGGTTTCAGTCCATATTCAGCTGGCTCCAAGACAGAGTGGCACATGGCAGAGAGCAGCAGTTCATGGCAGTGGCAAAGAGCAGAGAGCAAAGGGAGTGGAAAAAGTGGCTACAGAGAGCAAGTCTGTCTCCCTTATGCTGCATTCAGGCTACCTGCCCCAGGCTGGGTGTAGCACTCACATCCATAATCCCAGCAGCACTCACATCCACAATCAAGAGTGAATCACAAACTCTAGAAATCACCCCACACAAGGCTTTGGGGGGACAACTAGATACAAAGCATGACAGGTATTATTGTCAGTTGAAATATAAAAGGAAGCAAACAGAAGGAATTATGGACAAAAATAATAATGACATCTGAACAAAATAAAGGGTCTGAGTTGACTTTGTGACCATCTCAGCGAGGGGAACAGAGTATAGCTCAAAGGTATATGCAAGTACACTGTTCAGTACCACGGAGTTTATGTGTGTATGCATGTAGATCTATTTCTATCTATATCGATATATATATATATAGATAGATATGAATAGTAGATCATTCTAGTAAATTATTTTATTAAAGTAGGATTTTCTTTGATTGAAATATTTGATTAGATTTTGGTACTATTTTCAGTGAATTTTTTATTTTTTTAATGGTACCGGGGATCGAACTCAGCATCTTATGCTCACCAGCTGGGTGCTTATGCCACTCAGCTATCTCCCCAGCCACTGTTTTCAGTGATCTCTAAAAGATTAAATAGATGATTGTTTGATAGAAAAAAATTTCGAGCCATAATGATAAAGACGATATAATTTCCCCTAATCAAAATATATTCTACCTCCCTGACTTGTTTTTTATTTAAGGGATTTTTTTTTTGAAGTGTATAAAGTGTTGCAGTGTTGAACAGTGTCTGTCGAGATGTAGAAGGAATTACCGTCCTTCATATTTTAAGCTGTTGTAGCTGATACACCATTGAAAAATGTTTTTATTTATTTTTCAGTACTCATAATCAATTTACATTTTTCATCAAGTGCAGTTATTTTCTTGAAAGCAAACCATCAATTTCTTTCCTCCGGCCACCTCTGACTCTCGCTGTCTCTGCTTCTTTCTGTGTCTCCTTCTCCTTCTCCTTCTCCCTCCTTCCCTCTCTTTCTCTCTCCATTACCTTCTGTCATTACTCCCGCCTTCCCTAAATAGATGTGGGACACAAGAATAGGAAATATAAAATAACACATATTAAAGCAACTTTTTCTACCTTACAAATCTTTAATATTTATTCTGCTTTTCCCCTAAAAAATGTGGCTTTTTAGTTTGCTTCCGTCTTTGCATCTGTTAGGCCACTATAATTTTCTCAGCATGAGAATAAAATTCCTCCGTCACTTATCGGACCATTCTGAAATTTTTGGAAACAAAGTTCATTATAAAATAAAAATGAATGGAAAACCTGCGAATGCCGTCATTCTCAGCCTACAGTTGTGCCTCTAGAGAACACGGAGATCGTGTCACAGGGCAGTGACAGAGACTCCCCATAAACTGTAACTAGGGAGACAAGGTAGTCCCAGACAGTGGTGTCACAATGAGAATCAAAGGGGGAGATATAATCGTGACAGGGGTGTGTGTGTGTGTGTGTGTGTGTGCGTGTGCGCCTGTGTCTCTGCATGTGTGTGTACATGGAAACACGATAAAGTTCTGTAGTTCCTCAGTTGTTAATGGAAGAGTTCAACTAAATGGGCTTAAGATGCCTTCAAATCCTTTGTAATGGTCCAACTTTTTAAATTTTGTATCTGTTTAGCATTGTTGTATCTTTTTTACTATTCAAATTGCATGTTGTATTGTAAAACACACACACACACACACACACACACACCCCACCATCTCTGTGTTTCCTACCAACCTTGCTTGCATACAGAGGCTCAGCAGTCGATGCTTGGGCTGAAGGGGCCTCGGCAGCCGCTGGAGGAGGGCTGGGCTGCACGTGTGGGGCTTGCCCCCTGAGCTGCGTGGCTCTGTCCTCACCCCGTGAGCCCCAGAGCTTGTGGCTTCTCCTGTGTCATTAGGAGTTCTGCTGGCGGGGAATTTCCCATGGAAGTCACCGTATGACGCAATGACTAGGGACAGTAGTGGGAACAAGAATAATTAGGAAAGCATTTGGAACACTGTAACTATGGAGCTGCACAAGGCCACGCTGCCCGCGCACCCAGAACCTCTTTGGGGGACTGTGGTAGAATCTCTGGAACTCTGTAACTATGGAGCGGACTTGGCTCTTCACCTGTTTAGATTTTTAAATTACATGTTTAGTTTCCTCACTAATATTCAAAAAAAGAATCCAGGGGAAGGTGTATATTTCTTAATTGTTGTGCCAAAAAAACGGTCTGAAACTTTCCCATGATATTATTTTTTTTAAAGATAAATACTCCATTTCCTTTATTTTTATTTTTATTTTTTTAACATTTATTTACGTGTGTGTGTGTGTGTGTGTGCGTGTGTGTGTAGCCAGCTCAGCCCACCAGGGGGCGCGGCTGGCCAGCATGTGGTGCTGGAGGATGGAACCGTGGTCCCTGTGCTTTGCCAAGCTTGTTCCAAGTAGGTGCTTTAGACCACTGAGCCATCTCTCCAGCCCCTCCCATGATATTATGAAGCTAGTTGCGCCCGAGGACATGTAGAGGACTACACCACGGGCGTTGTGAGCCCTCAGGATGGGCAGATGTATTGTTTTCTATTTTTGTTTAGCAGTAGGTTCTTTTAGCCTTGTTGCTCTCCATCTTTTTTTTTTTTTTTTTTTTTTTTTTCCCTTTGGGTTTTTTTAAATTTTTTTTTATACCAAATGGGGGGGGGGGGGGGAATGAGCTATAGAGTTTTAGGAGAAATTACACCAAAAAAAAAAAAAAAAAAAAAAAAAACCCACAAAATGAAAAGCTCATTGACGCACTGTGGGAGCTGACAACTCGCTCTCCCCTAGAGGCAAAGCCACCCTGCTGGACATGGGCTCGCTGATGATCCGGCCAGTGCAGCGCCTGATGAAGTACCCGCTGCTGCTGCACGAGCTGCACAGGGCCACGCCGCCCGCGCACCCAGACCACGGGCCGCTGGAGGAGGCCTGCGCTGCCGTGAGGGCCATCAACGTCAACATTAACGAGCAGAAGAGGAGGAAAGACCTGGGTAGGAGACACGGGGGGAGGGGGCGGGGGGGGGAGGAAGGGGGGGCGCTGCGTGCCAGTCCCTGGTCTCAGGTCTGAGCACACAGAGCGGGTGCAGGGAGCGCGAGGGGGAGACCCAGGGAACAGCTTGGTCACTTTGACCCTGACAGCTGGTTTTAGAAGATCCAAAAGCAAACACACAGCCTCAAGCCCTGAATGCCATCAGACCTCTGCGCTCTTCTTTTTCTTAGGTGGGAGGTAGAGGGAGAGAAAGGAGAAGGGGGAGGGGGAGGCTCAGCACAGGAACAGCGTGGAAAGAGGCCGTTGGAAAGGGACAGGGCCACACGAGGGTACATAGGGCCATGTGAGGGCCACGCAAGGGGTCACGCTGAAAGTTGGGCCTGCTCCTCCCTGATGGGCGCAAGAAGAGGAAGAGTGCTAGGTAGTAGCGCGCACTTTTTGAGCATGTATACAATTACCTTCTCTAGTGCACACACCTAGAAATTGATTCTCTGGTCCTCTTGTGTGTACACCCTCAGCTCTGAGAACAGAGGGAGAGATTTTTCTAGTAGGAAAGGATTTCCTTAAAGTGAGAGGGAAACTGACCCACGGCCTTGGAGGGCTGAGGTTCCAAGACTCTGCATGCACGAGGCCAGACAGACAGGCCACTTGGCTGAATGTCATGACCTCTGTGACTCAGCGTGGAAGGCGCACACACTTTTATCTTGAGCTCTGACACTGACCTTGGAAACTTAGCAGAAAGCTTGCAGCCTTTTTGTGCTGCACATGCGCAGATCTGTTCCTGCCTTTTTTCCTTTCAGTTCTCAAATACAAGAAGAATGATGAGGACGAGTCACTCAAGGACAAATTGTCTAAACTAAATATCCATTCAATTAGCAAGAAGTCGAAGAGAGTGACAAATCACCTAAAGATTCTGACCAGAGGAGACTCACAGGTACGTTTTCTTCCTGCGCCTCTTACTTTCTTCCAGGGAATGTGGGCAGTCATTTTTTGGAGGCATTGTTTGTGTTACCAGGGTTTTATCTACAGTCCTGAGAATCTCTTCTCTCCCTCTCTCACTGTCTCAGTCTCTCTCACTGTCTCTGTCTCAATCTCTCTCTCTCTCTCTCTCTCTCTCTCTCTCTCTCTCTCTCTCTTTCTCTCTCTGTCTCCTCCCTTTCCTCTCTCTCACTCTGTCTGGTGTCTGTCTGTCTCTGTCTGTCTGTCTCTGACACTCTCTCTCTCTCTCCCTATCTCTGTCTCTCTCTCCCCCTATCCCTCTGTCTATTTCATTCCCTTCCCCTCTCTCTTACTTTGTCTGACTGTCTCTTTCTCTGTCTCTCTCTGTCTCTGTCTGTCTGTCTGTCTCTCTCTCTCTCTCTCTCTCTCTCTCTCTCTCTCTCTCTCTCTGTCTCTCTCTGGTGTAAAAATGCGACTGGGGGTACTGACCCTCGCTTAGCTGGGATGCTCCCACCAGGGATGTGGACAGGTGGACAGAGGAGAGGAAAGGACACCAGGACCTGGGACATAAGGGCCACCTTCCTTCATCTCCCAGCAATGTCTTCTGCTTTATCTTTGTTTTAGTTCTGCCTTTAAACATTTCACTATCTTTTAGGGTTCCCTTGATGTTCATATTACCTGGATTTCACCTGTAAAAAACCAAACCACTTAAATGAATAGCTTACATGGTATTTTCCCTGCCTCTTCCCAGCCTTTCCCCAGCCCCCTAAATGCACGTTATGTGAGCAAGGAGCTGCTTTTTGTGAGCCATTGAGCCTGGATTGAACCACTCTCATCCCAAACCATAATAAATAATAGATGGGCTAGCAAAGGCTGGTGAACTTTAATGTGATTAAGAATTACCAGAGGAGCTTGTGGAAAGGCAGATGAGAGGGAGGGTGTCCATCTTATTCACAGGTGCAAACTAGAATCCAGGGCTGGCCAAATAGCTCAGCGGATTAACGTGCCTGCAAGCAGGTGCAGGGGTCAGGGGTTCAATCCCTGGGCATGCCATGCCAGCCCCGTGCCCTGGTGTGTTGAGACAGCAATTGAGACTGGGCATGGTGGTGCATGCCTATAATCTCAGCTCTTGGGAGACCATAAACAGGCGGATCACTATGAGTCTGATCTAGTAATAAGACCCTGAACGCCCTGTAGACCCTTCCCTAAAAAAATAAAAAAATAAAAATAAAACAAAAAAAACTAGAGTCTGATTTTTTTTTATAACAAGCATTCCAGGTATTTCCATGCTAATAATCTTGAGTAAGAGATCAATGAAGCAGACATTGAGACTCATAAGATAGAAAGTTCATGGACCTGACTTGGTAACAGGGGCCTTCCCTCTGAAAGTGGGAAGGAAGGAAAATTCTTTTTTTGTTTGTTTGTTTGTTTGTCTGGTTTTTGTTTGATTGTTTGTTTTTTTTTGTTTGTTTGTTTGTTTTTTCTGTGTATGTGGCCAGCTCGGCCCACCCTACCGGGGATTGAACTCATGCCCTTGCGCTTTCCAGGCAAGCGCTTGTTCTACTGAGCTATCTCCCCGGCCCCTGAGAATTCTTAGCATACTAGACTGTTCTTCTTTTCCTTCCTCTTCATTTCCATCACTTCTTATATTAACATCTCTAAGATTTCTAATTTGAGCTAGAGGCATTGATTTTAAATGTTTTCTTCTATCTGCCTCATATTTAGCAGTCTCCTTTTCTTCCTGGGAGCCTTTCAGCTTTCTTACCTTGACATAGAAGTGACCTCTCCCTCCTTCTAATGTTTAGTAAACTTACTCTCTTGTATGCCACTGTTGTCACTGTGCAGTTTGGAAACATCAGCAGTAGGCAGATAGAAAAGCAAAGTCTTTGAAATTATCTCCCCTGGGCTTTGAGCCCCACCTCTGCTCCTTACTAAGTACTTGTCCTAACACACATGACTTCCACTCAATGTAGCCACCTGTTACAAGGGATTAGAGTAGGACCTCACACATGGAATAGCTGTGAGAATTAAGTGATATAAAGGATATCCCTGACACAATGTATAGATACTCAATAATATTACATATAATTCTTTTATATCATTGCTTTTTTATTATTATTCAACTTTAAATGTATAGATGTGCTAAGGATGTAAACTCCCACATGAGCCTCATGAGTGGTGTCGCTATAATTTTACTTTCTGTACTTTTATGTTTTGTGCTTTTTGTTTGTTTGTCTTTTTGAGACAAGATCTTGCTATGTAGTTCAGGCTGGCATTGAGCTCATTTTGTAGCCCAGGCTGGTCTCAGATTCTCAATGATACTCCTGCCTCAGCCTGCCAAGGGCAGGGATTACAGCCTACCCCATGGCTGGCTTGTATTTCTGTGTTTGGCCTAAAATATCTTGCTAATCAGGAGACACATCACCTCCCAGGGCTAGACTATGCTTAGAGACAAGGAAATGGCTCAGAACACAACTTTCACAGGCAAGCCAACCCACCCCAAATCTACAGCCCATTCGGATAACCTCCTTATCTACTGCTTACACAACTAAACTAGTGTTATCTTTGCCCTAAATCATTCCTGGACCAGATGCCAAGCAACCAGAGACCAGCCCTATATCCCTGAGCCTTTGAGAAAACATTCCTAGTAATCCTAAACTACTTACTGTCATCTACTTTGCCTTTCCCATGGTAATCCCAATAAAGGCTCTGGCCTAGACTTTCTCTTCCTCCCTATTTCCTGCTGTTTGATTAAAATCTGGGGCTTCCCCTGTGAGTAAATAATGACCCCTGTCTGATACCTGTGAGCATAGTATATGCTTCTCTCCAAGACTCGTCCTCATCTTCTTTTGTGACTGCACTGACTTTACTATGTAGAACCAACATGCACATTCTTAGAGTGCATGTCTTACACCATGCCTTCATTTGCATCTTGATATCACTAGGGTGTCACTAGGTCCATTTCATGTATGAAGATGCTCTTACTGACTATAATATCTGAGGTTTAGGACATTTATGGAATATAATCACAGATCAGAGATAGGACAATCAAGGATGATATTTCAACTAAAAATACACCAGTAATAAAATTATATTGGGAATTTAAGATGAGATTGTAGTCCCTGTGAGCATGTCATGAAAACAATTCTCCACTCTTTGGGATTTTACCTCTGAAGGAAGGTAATTCTATTGAGAAACAATAGGCAGGTTCTAATTTTGGACAGGCTTTTGTGTAAGCTGTTAAATCCTTTAACATATTTATTATCAACTTCTTATATTTTTCAGTTGTGGAGTAAAAATGAATTGTAGTTTTTTTAAAGCCTGAAGGGATATTAATTAGATTTTCCCCTTAATCTTTTTAGAGAATGTCCTGCCAGCAATGAAGCATTTCACCTTTAATCAGAAAATCAGCTGCATAGGCTAGACTGGAGAAGAGATAAATCTCAAATCAATCAATTTTGCTCTTGTCAGCAGCTCAAGTGAAATATTGGTGGAGTTGGGGTATAAAGTTATTACCAAGGAGGAAGACTCTATTCAATTCATCATACATGTATTGAACTCTCATATACAAGACAGTGAAAGACTAGAAATGCAGGGATGAATAGGGGTAGGTTCTGAATTCAGGCTGCTTGGTTTTACATCTTGATCTTACCCACTAATATGGGTAAGACTCTGTAACCCTGTTTATTTGAATAAAGGTCATGTATCTGTCACAAAAGATTCCGAAGCACAGTTGTTAAGGTCAGGTGGTCCTTCCTTTCTCTCCTTGATGACAGTCATGATTTGTGAGCAAAGGGGCTCTATTTCAGATGAACTTTCCTGAATCCAACTTTGTGTAGTGCTTTTCCCAAACATATTGCTGTCATCTGCTTGCTTGAAGCTGGCTTATTTCCATGTCTTCCTTCAAGTCCCAAAGACAATGTTACAAGGCCAACAGATAGAAATGGAACAGAACACTTCACTCACATCCTCACTGCCCAAACCCAGTTATGTGAGGGAGCTAGCTGCAAGACAGTCTAGGAGACAAAGTTTTATAAGTCAAGCCAAGCATCCAACTTCAAGTAGAACTTATGGGGTATGTCAGCAAAAGGACAATGGAAGATATTATTTTTATACTCTTTGGTACTCACTAAAATCTTCATCTCTGAATTGGAATCAGTAATAATATCTACCTTATAGGATTATAAAAGAATGAGAAAATAGAAAAAAGTTTCAGGTACAATGTCTGGAACACAAAGTTGCTAAAAAAGCACATTAAGAAAAATAAATTTGTATGGTGGGAAGAGAAGCAATGGAAGTAGGATACATAGAAAGTTGACATTTGAGACAGACCTTGAAAAGACTTATTTTTTAAACTTGGAATTTTTAAGTTTAAGCAGAAAAAAGAATGCTTACATATTTCAGAAAAACAGTATGAAAAGGAATTGAGCATGGGAAAGTAGAACTTGACAATATTTTTCGCCATGTGATCTTTGAACCTGCCACTATAGAATCATCTGTGTTCCACCCAAGATATATAAAATGAAATACCTCATGGTGGTCCTGATTTTTTAAAATATGCCTCAGCATATTGTTACACACATCAGACTAAGTTGGTGCATAGAGATTTGCTGATTTATAATCAAATCAGGAAGTATCAGGTAAGATTTGTAAGACCAAGGGTTTTGAATTTTGTTAGATTACAAAGGACTCCATTTAATCAAAAGTTTTCCAGATAAACAATTAATAAAAGTTTTTTAAAAAACGGTGTCAATCCTATCCAATCAGTTTTAAGGTCAGCTGTGGGAAATTAACAGACACCTGAACCAAGGGCAGCAGCAGTTCTTACCCAGCGCTGAACTAAACAGTTTGTATCCAGTTCTGTTGAACATTTGCATGTCAAATGCTTTCGTCAGCATTAGCCTGGTTCTGGTCTTGTAGCCATTTTGATTGCTAAAAGTTAATGTTTAGAGCTGGGAAATAGCTTAGCAGCACAAATGCCTGTCTGGCAAGTGCAAAATCTTGAGTTCAATTCCTGGTACCAAAAAAAAAAAAATTAAAAACCAAAACTAATGTTTATCATCAGTCAAAATATATGAATGAAAAAACTATATATGTCCTTAAAATTTTTCAGTAGCATATAGACGCACATTTTTTTCTGAATGCTAATACACGTACCACGAGAAAAAAAAATCTGAACATGTGTGACCACTACCTGAATTCTACAGATTTACCCTAACAGAAGAGCTAAGATTATATGGGATCACTCAACTTTGAAGTGATAAAAATCATTTGAGGTGATTGTCACCGTATGAACCATGGACCTAAGAATTCTTTCTAAGTAAGCGCTTGTAAACAAACTGGAGTGAGTGTAAACAAAACAACACATTTCTGTCAATAATCAAATTTAGCTGTTTTGTGAAAACATAATACTATCCTTTTAGTTCATAAGTTATTATGCCACTGAAAACTACAGAGAACAGTTTGATGATCTTACAACTACTGTGACACGGGGGAAGCCATGTGCAAATGAGCAATGGTGGGGCCAACTGCCTGACATGGCTTCATGACTCTAACTGAACACACATTTGTACTGTGAGCCCACCCAGAAGGTGCTGTGTGACAGTAGTCAGCAGGTTCTAGAAGGCTTTCCCATCAACAGGGAGGGTTTTTTTTTTGTAATATTTGGGCCTTTACCTCATTTTTTAGATACTAGATTCATGTGAGTTATGAAAGTAATTTCCTGTGTTTTAGGTGAAAGATACTACCTTTAACAAAGAAGAAAAATTGTTCAGATCTTTGGAAAAAACTGTGAGGCAATGTGTGAAGAGCGTCTCATTGTGTCTGCAGGACATGCAGGTAGGTGAGGCCGGGGCTTGTCAGCCTTCCCACAAGAACAAGTTCATTTTTGTGGTTGTTATGGGAGCAAACGCGGCTGTTCATTTATGCTAGGATGCTCACTGGAGTAAATTTGAAAGGCTGAAAACACCCAGCGAAGGAAGCCAGAGAAGGCTTGGGCTGTGATCTCTCCCCACTCCTCTCCCCACCCTCCCCCTGGCCCAAACTGCTGTATTCTGGAGCTCCTGCTCCAATAAATGCCACGTGGATCATCAGGCTGTTTTCTTTGTAGCAGAGATGAATTTGTTAATACTAAATTGTACACAAGCAGAAATTGTGTTGTGAGTATGATTTTAGTATTGCTTCACTTTCTAGTACCTAAAATCATTGTGACAAAATAAATAGAAATGCAAGATAATATGAAGTATGATAAGCAAATACCCTCACATGATGACACTGGAAAACAAATGCACGCCTCAAAGTGTCTGGTCCCTGAGGAAGTTACTCTGAACCCCTCAGAATCACTGCTTCCTACACACCTTCTGGGATACAGCACAATTGTTGGCTTCTCATGGCTTTTACAAGGAGGCACCGTGTCCTTAATGACATCTTGACAATCGTTATATACCAATGTTATGTGTAAGTCAGCTAATAAATGGACCCCTTCCTTTGCTGGAAATTTTCCTCTTGGGTATTTGCTTTTGGAAATGAGAGCTGATAGAATAGAACAGGTGACAAAAACACTGACTTGGAACAAGCTTTCGTGTTCTGTAATTCTGGTCTTATCTGTTATCCTATGCAAAGCCTGTTTCACAACCAGACTTGCTAATCTAAAGTGCTGCGTTCTGTGGAAGGCAAGCTCAAGACACAGTTGTAACTGCCTGAGGATGGTGGGAACCTATTCCCGCTCTGAGGCACCCCCCTCAGAGCAAAAGCCTTTCAGAATATTGCCTGGAAAGTCCCGTGTTGTTACTGATTCAACAAAAATAAGAGCATATCTCTTAAAGAGAAAGCTAAACTAGAAAAACTGATGGTGGAATTGAGAGGACTGAAGTTGAAAATAAGCAATCTGAAGGAATTGAGTATTAAATAATAGCCAACAAGGGAACTTGAGGTGAATTCCACAAAAGCAGGAACCTCAGACAGGACAAGAAGGACACATTATGACATGGTGAAGGAAGGAAGCAGATTGTTACAAGTTGCTGGACTGCATGGAATATTATGAGAAGTGTGTAGATTCTTGATTTTTAATCTGTCAGGGGAAATGGTACATCGTGATGATTGTGTTCACGTTTGGGAGGTTTTAGTGGCTCTGACTACAGAGCTCGCCCTTCTATAACATCTCTACTGGGTTTCAGGATGCCCTGCCCCTTGCTCTGCAGAGTGTGACTGAGCTGCAGGAGATGTCACAGAACCCAGACCAGGAGGAGCAGGGCTCTACAGACACCCTGAAGATTGCCCCAGACCCCTGCCATGACTTTGTAAGTTAATTGTACAGCTAAGTGCAAATTAAATAATGGGTTAAAGGCAGCTTTTCATTTGTTTTTCTGGAGTTATTAAGAAAATGGAAGCAAATACTAAAGTCAAATTTGAGAGTATTTAGTAGAGAAATTTTTAAAAATTACTAAATATTTTTGGGTAGATGAGTGAGAATTTTATTATAATTGGAATTTAAGGCAACCCAAGACTGCTTCTGGGGTAGTCAGTACATGTATAGCTTTTAGAATCAAGGTTGAGTTGAAGTCTGCATAAGAGAGATCAAGAACTTAAGCTGGAAGCTGTATTTTTCTTAGAGCTGTCCAGTTTGGGTCTGGAGATAGGACTGCCATCAGCACAATACACACTGGACTACAAAGCCTGCTTTTGGAAAAAGGATTTTAATTGAGAGTCATATTATTTCTTCAGCTACATGATAAATTACTTATTGTCTAAGAGTTATGTAAAATATAGCTTGGGAACCATAAAAACATGCTTGAGTCAATATAATATTTGCTTGACAAAGTCATCTGGATAACACTAATTTTAACTTGGTGCATTGTGTTCTTATAGGTGTAATTATTGTACATTAATTATTACAGAGTAGCTATAATAGACTCTGGCACCTTAAAAGAGGCATTTTTTATGCTGGCGTCACTGGCATTTTGGGGTCAATTAGGTCATCACCACTTGGCCCTGGGATGGGAGGATAGTCTATCAGGCTTGGTCAAGTAGTGGTGACAAGCAATAACCAGACCCATAATCTCAAAACCTCCAGTTTTGAAACATAACTTCTAGCCCACTAGACAGTGATGCAGAACCACCTTGTTTTTCTGGCACTGAGGGAAAAAATCAGGAATACATCAGGATACAATGATAGAGTGGTCACTCACAGATGGATGGATAGGTGGGTGGATGGATGACAAAAATTTTTACAGTATATGTTTAATGGGAAATTTGTGGTTCATTACTTAATGTATTTTCTGGGTTTAATTACAGAGAGCACATGTTAGAAAAGCCCTCACAGGTTTGCTGTTTAGGTTAATTTGAATTCATTAAGTCAATAAATATTTATTAAGTACATTTGAGCACATGCTAAATCAAATTTTCCCAGAAGGTTGCCATTGAACCTGACAATCAAATTTGATTTAATTCTCATCCAATTCAGTTTGGGAGCAGAATTGTGTAAGGAATTAAGTTTGTGAACTGTAGAATTCAAGGAATTAAGGTCATACCACTATAGTATGAAGCATCCTCCATGGGAAACATGTTCTATGACTTAGCAGAAACATTAAGGAACCCTGTGTACAACTGCAAAATAATTTATTAGGCTTGGCTAAAATAATTATCAGAAATCTAAAAGTATAAAAGTAATATTTTATTATGTAACACATATAGCGCTCCTTGTAAAAAATGAAATATTAAGGCCAGGCATGGTGGTACATGTTTGTAATCCTAGACTGGGAGGCTGAGGCAGGAGGGTCACTGTGAGGGGGAGGCCAACCTGGGCTAAGTAGTGAGTTCGAGACCAATCTGAACTGCATGGCAAGCACCTGTCAAAAAAAAAAAAAAAAGCCGTATTAAGAATTCAAAACCTCTCTAAAAACAGAGCAATTGTTCTTATCTAACCATGAATGATACTTATATATGCTTTTGTGTAGGACAAAATATTAAAACAGAATGTGCTTATTTGTTCAAACCATACTTCCTATGTACAGGTGAACCCAGGAGACCGATAATAGATAGATAGATAGATAGATAGATAGATAGATAGATACATACATACATACATACATACATAGATGACAGATAGATGATAGATAGATGACAGATAAATAGATGATAGGTAGATGATAAGTAGATAGATGATAGACAGATAGACAGATAGATAGATAGATATTATATTATAGTATATTTCCTATAGAACCCAGTGAAGTCCTAAACAAAATAATTCATACTAGATATAGTACATAGATTCTTTGCTTAGTCAAGAGACTCATTAAACAGTGTGCAGGTATGTATTGATTATTTCATAAGCTGGACAATAAATTAATCCATGTTGGCTGGTGCAATGGGAGATTTCCTCTCTGCTTGATTTCCCACGAGTACAGAGTCATCAGGACTGTGTAAATTAATTACAGCAGCTGCTGCTGAGGTGCTGACTGCCCAGGTCATCTCGGGGGTCCGCAGCAAAGCCTGCTGCTCCTTCCCCTTATCTAGTCATGCAGCACAAGCACAGTTGATAGGTGGTGAAGGAAGGCAATCAGCAAGCACAGGACACTAGTGCACTTCAGAATAAGGTGGGAGGAAAGCAAAAGAAAAGAAATTAAATCTAGGGTGCTGGGGCTAACTTGCGGCTGGATGTTCATGCAGATTTGCTTCCAGTGATTCAGACCAAAAATGTATCAGATTAAGAACCAGGTCCAGCCTCCATGTAACCCTTAGTGTATTTAAAGAGAAAGTTACAGCTGTGGTCATTTCTGTCACAGAAGTCCAGTAACTACATGAAAAGCTCACTATCTGTATAGGGGGTTCAATTCCATTACCAAAGATAAACCCTTCTAGCAGTCAGGAGCTTGGGGCTGACATGAGAGGGATAGGACCCAGTCACAGTCGCATACCATAGACTATGTGCCTGAGTGGATAGGGAGTGACATGGTGAAGCTTTTATAGAACTAGAAGTCAATGGGGCTGGAGAGATGGCTCAGTGGAATAAGCACTTCTCTGGCAAGCGCAAGGGCCTGAGTTCAATCCCAGGTTCCACAAAAAAAAGAACTAGAAGTCAAAGACAGATATGGTCCACCCCGAAATGGGGTTCAGTTTGGTTCTGGATTAGATAAAAACAAAAGGGCCAACCAAATAGCTCAGCAGATTAAAGCACCTACAAGCAGGTGTAGGGATCAGGGGTTCAATCCCCGGGCCTGCACACTGAGACAGCGATTGAGACTGGGAGTGGTGGCGCACACCTGTAATCCCAGCGCTTGGGAGGCTGTAAACAGGTGGATCACTACAAGTCCTATCTAGTAGTGAGACCCTGAACACCCTGTAGGCCCTTCCCTAAAATACAGAAAAAAAAAAAAAAAAACAAGAAAAAGGAAAAAGAAAGAGAGAGAGAGAGAGAGAGAGAGAGAGAGAGAGAGAGAGAGAGAGAAAGAAGAGACTTCCTGATCCCAATAACCAACAATGGAAAGAAAGGCGGAGTTATGTTTTGACTGAGAGGCTTTCATTTTTATTTTTCTCTTCTGGTTGGTCTTTTGGCTCAATGAGTTTCCTGCCCCTGAACAGACTTAGCTAACACAGGGGTGGTCAGTGTGTCCCTGCTTCCTTTACTCCCACGGAGAGGGGTGGGCGGCCAAGGGCAGTCTGCATGTGCTCCTGCCTGTCCCTGTCTTTGTAACGGCCTTGTGTTTTCACTCTGTAGGCAACTCGCCTCCAGGGACGCGTCCTGAACCCGTTGTCAGCCCTGCTGTCCTTGTTCCCAGGACCACAGAAGCTCATCCAAAAACGCTATGACAAACTGCTGGATTACAACAGCTACCTGCAGCGGTCCGCCAGAGCCGAGTCGGACCTGGCCAAAAGGGAATATGAGGCCCTCAATGCCCAGCTCCTGGAGGAGCTGCAGGTCTTCAACCAGGCAGCTCGGACGATTCTGATGAACGGAGTGTGCCTCTTCGTTAGCCTCCTCAGGGACCTGATGCTTGCTGCCCAGCAGGGCTACACTGCCATCCTGCCAGTGAGCACACCTGGGGGCCTCGGCCACAGTGGGCTGGTCTCCTGGAGACCGTGGGGCGCGGGTCCAGGCCTGGGGGGAGGGTGCCCCGTGTGGCCCATGTGCATGTACCATTTCAGTAAAGTAGTCACGTGGTCCTCTGCTCTGGGACCCCATTTTGAGTTATAGAACTCAAAAGGGTGCCTTCAGTTTCTATGTAGTTACCTAAAATCTTTCATATTGTGGTCCATAGAACAGGAGCAAAGAGATTATTTTTGAGGACTCACTAATGTACGATAATGAAAAGTACTTTGGAGAAGTTTTGCTTCGTTAAGGGTTTCATTCTATATTTTATATGAGCTACATGTAGTTAAACTTTTGGTTTTGAGATTCTGTAGCTATACATATAGTTATAAAAAGTAACAGAGGGCTGGAGAGGTAGGTCCGTGGCATAGGTGCCTGCTGGCAAGCACAAGGTACCTAGCTCAAAAGAATTTTTTAAAAAAGGAACAGAATCGCTGGGTGTCCTTCACATTTTCCTCGATGGTAACATATTGAGAGAGAAGAAACAAATGAATAAAAGGAAAAAACAAATTCTTTTCAATGAACAAGGAGAAACTATGAGTATAAATGAAACAAATTAGCAATGTCTTAAACTATTTTGGGAACAATAACTTTGAAGTAAGTATAACTACAAATCTGCGCTTGTGATGCTTCCTGATTTGCTTTTGTTACCTAGAATTGCTTTTGTTATGCTAGGTCTCTTCTGGGACCACATGAATTTGGGGATTATTTTATCTATATCTATGAAAAATGCTGTCAGTATTTTGACGGGGATTGAGTTAAATCTGTATGTCTGTTGTGGCAGTATAGCTATATTGATTATGTCGGTTCTGCCTATCCAGGAACAGGGACTGTCTTTAATTCTTGTGTGTGCTCTTTGATTTTCTTTTTCAGAGTGATGTAACTGTAGAGGTCCTTTATCCTCTTGGGTAGGTTGAGTCCTGAGTAATTTTTCTTGATGCTATTGTGAAAGATACTGCTTTGCTGATTTCTTTCTCATTGAGTTCATTAGTAGTAGGAACACTACTGGTCTTTTGGTGTTGATTTTGTGTCCTGCTACATTACTAAATTTGTTAATTAATTCTAGGAGTCTTTTGGTATAATGTTTAGAGTCTTGTAAATCAAGGATCATGTCATCTGAAAGAATGACATTTTGACTTCCTCCTTTTAAAATATAACCGTTTTATTTCTTTCTCTTGCCTGATTGCTCTGACTAAGGTTTCAAGGACTGTATTGAACAGGAATGGGGATGGTGGGCATCCTTGTCATATTACAGATTTTAGAGGAAAAGATTTCAGTTTTTGCCCAATTAAAATGATGTTGGCAATAGTTTGGTGATAAATGACTTTAAGGAGATTGACAAAGTCCTTCCATATCTATTTTCTTGAGGGTATTTATCATGAATGCATATTGAATTTTGTCAAAGGCTCTGTCTGCCTCTATTGAGCTGATCATGTGATGTTTGTCCTTGTTTCTGTTTACTTGACGGATTATATTTATTGATTTGCATATGTTGAAAAACCATCTTTGTGTCCCTGGCATGAAGCCCACTTGGCCATGGTATATGATCTTTGTGATTCTTGATGCATTCTGTTTACCTATATTTTGTGAGGATTTTTGTGTCTATATTCATCATGGAAATTGGCCTGTAGTTCTCTCCTTTTGGTTGGATCCTTGTCTGCTTTTGAGATCACTGTCATGTTCGCTCTCAAGGATGGTTTTGGGAGTACTACTTCATGCTTGATTTTCTTAAAGGGTTCGCGAAGCTTTGATATTAGATGTTCCCTGTAGTTTTTATAGAATTTGGCAGTGAATCTGTCAGGTCCTGAGTTTTTCTTAGTTGTACTGAAACAGTGTTTTTATTATTGCCTCAAATTAATTGACAGCAGTTAAATTAAGATATGCAAGTCTTCTTAGTTCATGTTTGGTAATTCATATATATCAAGGAATCCTTCCCTTTCCTACAATTTTTTTTTGCATGTATCTTTGCAAATATCTCCTCCAAATCCTGCATTCAATTGTTTTGGACATATACTCAATAATGGGATTGCTGGCTTATGTGTTATTTTTTTCTACTGTTTCAAAGAACCCAAAGGTGCTCTTATTTTTCATTTTTATGAGTTACATATGTATTTGATTTAAAGATTTAGTTTGGTATTTAAGTTTATTATGTTTGATCAAGAAGTTGTCCTTTAATCCCTTTACTAAACTTTTTTCCTCCTCAAGGACAACTACTTTTCGATTGTTTTAGGTGATTCATGTTTTAAAATTAGACAGTTGTGTTCACATGTTATTAATTTTCACTTTTTGGAATGATACATTTTACTCTGAAAAATGAGAGCTTGTTTAGTTTTCCTTTCTATACTCCTACAAAAAAATATATATATGCAAATATATATATTTGCACTTTTTATCTCTCTTCATTACAATATCACAAATTAGATTGTATTCATAGCCAGTATTTAAAATAGCCATGGGCTGGCCAAATAGTTCAGCCTCAATTTAATTAAAGTGCCAGCTTAGGCAGATGCAGCAGCTGGGCTTTGATCTCTGGTGTGCTGTGCTGGCCCTGCCTCTGGGGATGCTGAGATGGCAATTGAGACTAGGCGTGGTGGTGCACGCCTATAGTCCCAGCTCTTGGGAGGCTGAAAACAGGAGGATCACTAGAAATCTGATCTACATAGTGAGACCCTGTAGAACCTGTACTAAAATACAATAAATAAATAAAATAGCCATGTGTCAGTCTTGATGAAAGTAGAAAAAATGCAACACACTTATGTTGGAAAATTGGATATTTAGAGAAAAAGTAATACGCTATTCATAAAAATGACAGTATGGCATAGGGAAACTATTAGACCTGTGGTCCACCCCAAAGAGGGAACTCTAGGTATCATGGGATAGAGGAAGGTGGTTATAGTGATACACAGACACAGGTATGGAGAAAGTGGCCATACAGAAGCTGTGAGGCTGTGCTGTTAGGTCAGTATGCCAGAACAAAACTTAGGAAATAAATATCTTTATCTAACTTTCCTTCTTCGTTCTGGTTTCCCGTGAGTTTTCCTATTGACTGAACCCATCTGGAAGCCAGAGAGCTGTTGCCACATTTCATTCTGTCAGACTCCTGGCCTGCTGAGCAGGGTGAGAAAGGAGGGAGAATCAGTGGGAAGCCGCAAGCTGATATGAGCACACAAAGTGGGTGTCGGCTAGATTTGAGCCACACAGAATGGTACAGTGACCGTGTCTTTCATTCATGTCTTTTGGTTCTCTGAAATTAGTAACACATTTTTCTCTCAATAGTCACTCAGGTTTCCTTTGGCTTACTTTATCCAGGGGTTGACTAAACCATGTCTGAAGACTTCCAGATGCACAGGGTATTCTGTCAGTTGTGTCTTCTTTCAGAAATCTCTCCCAGGGGCTGGGGAGATGGCTCAATAGAATAAGTGCTTCCCTGGCAAGCTCAAGGGTCTGAGTTCAATCCTCGGTTCCCCCCAAAAAATATCTATATCTATATCTATATCTATATCTATATCTATATATCTATATCTGTATCATCTATCTATCTATCTATCTATCTATCTATCTATCTATCTATCTATCATCTATCTATCATCTATCATCTATCTATCCCAGGGCTTTCTGACCTGCTCCAATCTGAAGCAATAACCTTTTCTTTCTTTTTTTCTTTCTTTCTTTCTTTTTTTTGCTAATCAGTGGTCATCCTGGGACTACACTTTGTCATCATTTTGGGAAATCTCTTTACCTCTCTTCTGTGTGGGATCTTGTTTCTTTACTTCTTTACCCTGTGTTGAGTTCTTTATAGCTTTATGCCTTTATTTGGGAGTAGCATATTTTTGAGTTGTTCCCTGAGAAACATTGATTAGGGATACATATTTTTGACATTCTGAGTATCAGAAAATGTCTGTGTCTTTACCATCGAATTAGTTGATAGCTTGGATGGGTATGAAAGTTGTTCTTTCTGAGTTTGGAAGCATTCCATTGTTCTACTGTATTCTCGCTTCCACAGTTGCTTTTGAGAACTCTAAAATCTATTTTGATTTCTTTATTCTTCATACATACTTCTCATATCATACTGGATTTTAATATTGTTTCCATTGAAAACTGATAGGATTTTGCTCTTGTTTCCATTGGTGCAAAATTTGAGATATACTGGGATTTTGGACACTCGGTAGTGTTCTTTTGACCTGAAAGTGTATGTCTTTTACTTCTGAAAATGTATTTAATTGACAGTTTTTCCATTTATTTACTCTTTTTTAAAAGCTGCTGGGTTGTTCCTATAATTTTATTATCTTTTTCCACTTATTTTCTCTCCGCATCACTTTGCTATAGTTTTCTATCTGTTATTTCTTTTTAGTTTTGCTCTTAAAATTTTAATATTTAAGGCTTCTCTTTGGTTTCTTATAATCACAAGCTTCTTCTTCCATCTCCTCCTCCTCCTCCTTTTTCTTTTTTCCCCCCCAGTACCAGGGATTGAACTTGGGACTTTGTGCTTGCCAGGCAGGCACTTATGCCACTGAGCTATCTCCCCAGCCTCACCCCCCAGTCTTTAAAAAGGTCTTTTTTTACAGTGACCACACTGCAACTGGACTATTTTCATGATAATTAAAGGCTTCCAGAATGAGCAGTCTGGAAAGAAACCAGCACAAACTAACTGCTTGGTCTTTTTCAGGACTAATCTTAAAAGTCAGATGGCATCATTTCCACTTGTTTAGTTTAACATTTTATTCACTGAGGCTGTTATTAAAGTCCAGTCCACTGAGTTCAAGCCCCAGTTCGCAAAAACAAATAAATAAATAAATAAATAAATAAATAAATAAAGTCCATATACAGTGTTTGGGGTTTGGGCTCTGTGGTAAGCTTTGGTTTTCTCCCCAGCGATGAAAGCAAAACATATCACAATACAACAACTATAAAGACCCACTTAGTCCTGAGAATAAAGCAAGAGGCTATACCTGTTGATGAGAAGCTTGTCAGAGAAAACTGCTAACTTATTTCGACCCTAACACAGTTTCTTTTTCTGTTTTAATTCATTTGGCACAGGGTCTCACTATGTAGGTTGGACTGGTAGTGATCCTCCTGTTTTCAGCCTCCCCAGCACTGGGATTACAGGCATGTGCCACTATGTTCAGTCTCATTGGCTGGCTCAGCACACCGAGGAATGGGGCCACCATGGCATGTGGTGCCAGATATCGAACCCCGATCCCTGTGCTCGCCTCAGCAGGGGCTTAGTCCACTGAGCTCTCTCGCCAGGCGACAGATTATTCATTGGTGCTTCTAGATATTTTTCTTTTTCTACTACATTATCCCCTAATGTGTGAAGTCCCTGTTGCTGTTAATTTCTGAGCTTTTCTTCCAATAACTTATTGCTAGCTTTTCTCTTTTGTTCTTTTATTTGGGCTTGAAATTTAAATATTTTTCCTATCATTTTTGTGTAGTTTCCAGAAGCAGCAAGTTAGACCATCTTTATGGAGAAGTTCTAGAGTTGCCCTAATTTTCCAGCTAGAATTGTTACATTTTCTGAAATGCTCATCACAACTGAGTACATTTAATATACAACACAGTTGTCCATGTGTCTAAAACTGTATTGTTTTTATTATAGGTGCCGCTGTTGGTCTCACGTATCAGTGAGATTCAGACACAAGTCCTAGTAGAAATTCAGAATCTGAATTTTGTAAAGGAGAACAGTGCCACCTTTATTGAGAGGAAACTTAGCTTTGAAAAGAAGAAGGCTATGCAGAGTCAGGTGAGTCTAACCCCACTCATGAAAAGGTAAACATCGCTGGCCATCCAAATCATAGGATTATACTCTCTTTTCTGTCATTTAATTCATTTTGTTATACAAAAATGCATTGATGCTTAGACTGTCTGCTCGGTTTCTTCTCTCTTTACTGTAAGCTCCATAAAATTGCTGGCTTATTTTATTTTATACATGTTATCTGCAAGTGGCCTAAAATGCTGCTGACACAAGATAGACATTTAGTAAATATTTGTTTAACTAAGACTTTGTAGGGATAAATAGGGAGTATATTTCCAATGAAAAGATATGCATATATGCATCTTACCAAATCAAATATTATCTATAAAGTGTTAAATATACAAGGGATCATCTACAAAACAGGAAAGAGCTAAAATGTTCACCACCAGGAAGGCTTAGAACCTTTGCCTTTAATTCACAGTTGTTTTGCCTTCTTTTCTGCAACACTGCCCTCATGTGCTTACTAGAGAATTTTTCACCGAATAACTCAAGTGTTTTCTAACAGCCTGATCTAAGCTCACACATCAAAATAAATCTAAATCAATATATAACTTCTATGTAAAAGAAAAGCTCCAGAGAAGAATATTTACTCAGTCAATGAGGATTTTACTATACATCCATGTAACCCAAAACTTTTTTCTTTCCCCAGCCAGATATACCTCGACAAACCGATACCCATCGCTCTAAACTTCTGTCCACGTACAGCGCACAGGAGCTCTATCAAGCTAAGCGCAAATGCAATGCTACCCAAGAGCACGACATCAACCTTCTGGAAGGAGATTTGGTAGCTGTGGTGGAACAGAAGGACCCCCTGGGGAGTACGAGCAGGTGGCTTGTTGATAGAGGCGGTAAGTTTTTCCCTAGAATTACCCACCATCCATAGGGGGAGATTTTCCCAGGGGCCTCTGTGTACTTGTCTGAGTGTTCTGTTTGTGAAAGGGAACACACAGGATCCTGACTCGTCTTTTTAAAAATGTCCTCCACAGGTGTAAAAGGATATGCATATTCCTGCTTCCTGAAACCCTACAATCCAGCAAAAGCACAGAAGGTAGATGCGGAGAACAGGCACTGTGATGATGATTTTGACAACATCAGCTTCTTTGTGTCATCTCGGCCAGCAGGCGACAGTGTCACGGGCACCCCAGAAGGCAGCATTAGTGACAGCAGCTCGTCGCTGAGTGGCACATGTGGGAAGTTTGAAACAAATGGCACTGATGTTGACAGTTTTCAAGAGGTTGATGAACAGGTGAGGACTTGAACCTTGATGTAAAAATACTTAGCTGTTTAAATTAAGAAAGAATCTCTAACTGTACTCTACTTCACCCTAAGCCCTGGTGGAGAAGTGCCGGCTTACACATCAGAGAGACCTGGCTCTGGTGGCAGGTACTCTCTGTGGACTGCTCTGCAGAGAATGTGGTTCTCTGTGCCTGTTTCCTTTGAGGAAGTGCGGAGGACGATGGTGCCGATGTTGCTGAGGTGATGTGTGGAGCAGAGATACTGTGTGTGTGCAGAGCGGTCAGCCCGGAGGGGACAACAGACAGCATCTAGTCCCTGTTCTGCCCTCTGCTGGGTACATACAGTGAGTAAGGGAGGGCTTTTACACAGCACAGCACCATTAGAGAATAGTAGTTCAGTACCAGGCAGACTGTGGCTGACCGAGTGGGCCTGCGAAACCGGGTGTGGTGGCGCCTGCCTGTAATCCCAGCGCTGGGGAGGCTGAGACAGAAGGATCACTCTGTGTCTGAGCTGAGAAGCGAGATACCAAATAATTAATTAAATAATTAAACACATACACCTTAAAAAAAAAGAAGTCTATGCTTTTCAACAGGGTTTTGAAGGGAAATTTTATCTAAAAAGATTAGAAATCGTTGTTCTAGCAACTTAACTTGCTGATCCATTCTCCCTGTTAAATGAGAAGAGACTGTTGGGTAAAGTGATCTAGCATTTTCTAGGATGGTTGTAGTAGATCAGGAATCTTATGGGTAAGATGACAGTATAATTTACCTTATTTCATGGGGAGCTTTTATATTTATTTATTTATTTATAGATATATTGTCTTTTTGAGACAGGGTCTCGCTATGCAGTTCGGGCTGGCCTTGATCTCACTTTTCGGCCAGGTTGGTCTCAAACACGCGATGACCCTCCTGCTTCAGCCTCCTGAGTGCTGGGATTACAGGCATGTGCTACCATGCGCAGATCATGGGGTGCTTCTATTAATGAAAGGAAGTGCATATTGGAGGAAACGTGGTGAGCAGGTAGAGGGTACAGTTACCCCACTTCTGTGAGTCTTAGAACTCACCCACTCAGAATCGCACACAGAAAGTTTGATCTTCTTCTGTGTGTTTTAAAAGTGCTCCTAAATTACAGTCTAGAGCTTTTGCTGAATAATGTATACTCACAACCCGACAGTACTGACATGCAGTGCATTTTGCTGAATCCAAGAACATAACAAAAGCAGTCAAACGGATATGGCTTCCCAGCTAATGCATTTTTTGCTCCATCAGCTGTAATGGCCTGGCCTAGGTTAGTTCTATGGTGCATAACAAATTACTACAAACTTAGTGCCTCAAAACCGTATAAACTTGTCCATGGTCAAGAGTCCAAGCTTGGCTGAGCTGGGCACCCTGCTCAGGCTCTCCCCAGCTGTGACCTTAGGGGTGTGTTTCTGAATCCTGGACTCTCTTGCAAGCTCAGTTGTTGCCAGAATTCAGCTTCTCCTAGCAGCACCAAGGTCTTAGTTTCCTTGCTGGTACTCAGCTGGGGACAGCAACTGGGGGCTGTCCTCAGACTCCAGGCCTGCGAGCATCTCTCTGAGTTACGTACAGCAAGGTGTTTGCTTCTTCCAGGTCACTGGTGAATGTCTCTTTGGTGTCAGATCTCTGCCTTCCAGTAAGCTCTTACTAGAGTTTAGTTTGCTTCTAATGACAGCATTCTGATGGAGGATGACTTCTCTTTTGATTATCCCTAAGTCAGTATCTTAATGAACCTGTTAGGCACTGCTGTGAAATCTTGTTATTGTTACCGTATAGTGTAACCTAATCACAGCAGTGACATTTCAGCCAATTAGCAAATTTCATGAACAAACAATTGGATTTCATAGGACAGGCTCAACAAAGACAGTGATCTTGGGGTCTATCCTAGAATCTTGGGGTCCACAGTATCTTTGTTCCTTCTTTGCCAAGCACAGTGCTGTACTTGGTACTTCACAGAGGACCAGGTTTGATAGTATCAAAAACCCAGTTTTAGGGGGCAATTCAATATCTAAAAATCAATGTTTTTTTCTACATAAAAATATTGGAAATACAATTTTTGATTAGTAATAAGTTAGTGGTTTTGCTACCAATTTTTCTGAATTTATAGTCTAATCCTTTATTTGTATTTTTCAATTGCTTATGATGCTGATACCACTATATGTGTAGTAGGTCATTGTTTAGAAAGTGCTTCAAAACATTGACAGATATATCACAATGTACTTTAATGGTAAATAAATGACTTTTAGAGAAGTTTCAGAGAACTATGTGTTGGTATGAAACAGTTTTCTAAAACATTCTGAAGTGAAAAACAAATTGCAGAAATTATATATACTGTAATTCTATTTCTATTACTAGCTTAGGTAGGGAAGTAGAAAGAAAATAGCAATGGAGGAGAGAAAGAAGAAAGGAAATAAAAGATACTAATAACAGTTGGGTGGTTTGGGGCTTTTATCTTTTCTATTTTCCTTTTTTCCTTATTTTTGTTTAAAATTATTTCCTCATCAACATTATTTGTGCAATAAAAATATATAATCGGGAGCTGGGGAGATGGCTCAGTGGAATAAGTGCTTCTCTGGAGAGCACAAGGGCCTGAGTTCAATCCCCGGTTCTGAAAAAATATATATATATATACATAATATAGTTAAAAACAGTGAAAATGAAGTTTGAAAATGTTTCAAATCTATTAAATATAAATTGTGGATGTGTATTGTTGCAATATTGATCATCTTATTAGTTTTTCTGAGAATCATATTTGTCAATTTCCAGTATGAGATATTTCTATCAGTGTTCTATTCCTACAATAGTCCATTACTGGCTCCATGCATCACTTTTCTATAAATATTTTCCACATATGCTTTCAACTGGATTTCTCTAGAGTCATCATTAATTAAATGTTTTTACTGACAATGTAGGTTTGTTTACATGATTTCAAGAAAGTTGATTGAAGACAAGAGCACCAGATTAAGTATCCATATTATACTCTAAGTGATACTAAGTATAAGAATAATTGGAAAATTAAGATCCTTAACTAGATTATCTGTCTTTCAGATAAATGGTTACTACTTACAAGTTATAATGTTACTATGCTAACTCACATTCCTATAATACTTATATACCTTATCTATGTTGTTTGCATATTGCTGTAATACTGAGTTTTATATTTATCGTGTAGAGTTATGTTAAGTTGATCTCACCAGAAAATGAAATCCTGTCCTGAGCCATGTTACCTTTCATTATAATTTAACTGAAAGCTGGAGCTCTAAGACTAAATCATTTAAGGATTAGAATCAGGTCTGTTCTAGTTTGGAAAAACTAGTTTTCACTTATTAAAATTTTCTGTTCTGAAATACTAGATCATTATTTCTACAGGAAATAATTTCACACATTA